CGGTCCCTGCCCTCAAAGAGCTCCCTGTCCCTGGTGCAGGCCTAGTCTGTGAGGGAGTCAGAGTAGGGACAAGGAGGGTTTTCAACCTAAGCTGAGAGGAAAGTAGCCTCAGTGGGGAGGGGGGCATGGTGGGGTAGGGAGACATGGTGAGGGGACATGGCAGGGTGGGGTGCATAGTGGGTTAAGGCACAAACCAGGAAAGAGCAGCTTCTAGGACAGAATCTAAGGTGTGGATGTGAAGGTACAGGAGGCCATGAGGGCAGCTAGCTGGGGCCAGAACCCAGAAAGCCTGGATCACAGAGCAAGCTTAGGTTCCTCTGTGGGCTGGGGAAGGGGAGGAATGGTGGGTCAGATGAGGGCAGGAAGCTCCCATTCTTTTAACAACAGCTCTGAGCTAGAGGATGAGGATGTCTTTTGAAGCCTTACTTTTTGGTCAAAAAGTAGACAGATTTAGATTGTCTGGGTTTCTCTAAATTTTGTCCATGGCACAAAAATAGCTGAAGCCTTTTTTAAATTATTATTATTTGGTGTCAGGCTGGTGGACATAGGGTTTGGCATCTGGAAGTTAACCTGTGAGATTGGCAAGTGCAGGGCCTCACACATGGTCAGGCAGTGTACATGGCAGCTGTCCACCCTTCATAAAGTGGGCCTTTCCTGCAAACATGGAATTTGCTGAGGAGAAGGCTAAGTGTCTGGTGGTAGTTTATTGTCACGGGGACCACAGTAAAGTGGTTTAGAAATTCATTTATTGCTTCCTCAGACAGAAACTGGTTCAGTGTTTTTGAACATTTTTGGAAGCTTTTATAATTTTGTGCAAAATTGATATTTAGAAGTACCCTCGAACAAGGTGTAGGTTTGTCTACTTTCCATACCCAGGGAAGAGCCTTGGGTGTATATCTTTTGCCTGTGTGTCTTTGGGACTATCACATTAAAGGGTAAATTCGTATGTAATATTGCTATATATTATCAAATTCTTCTACACAGATTGTTCATGTCTGAGCTTACCTATTTCTCAAAGGCATGAACACCCTACAAAATGCACCTCCTGCTCCTTCCCCTTGACTTTTGAACCCATTGTTGTTGTTTAGTGCCATTGAATCAGTTCTGACTCATAGCGACCCTATCTGGGGTTTCTGAGGAAAACCTGGTGGATTTGAACCACCAACCTTGCAGTTGGCAGCCCCGTGCTTATAACCCTTTATACTCCCTTCGCAGTAATTACCAGTATTTACTTATTTCACTTGTTTTTTGTTGCTATTCTGTCTTTCCCATTAGATTGCAAACTCCACAAGAGTAGAGACCATGTCTATCTGCTCACTATTCCCAAAGCCAGGACAATAACTTACACAATATAAATCGGTTTATAAATTGATCAGGATAAATTTGTGAATAAATAAATGAATGAATGAATATATTTACTTAGAAAAAGACCTATAAGAAGACCTTGGAATTTCTGGCATGGCCTCCTTGTTTTATCACAAAGTTAAGAGCTTGCAAGTCACATCCATTCAAAATGCCTCTTGACTGATCACCCTTCCCAGTGCATCACTCCAAATGCTTACAAAGCCTTTCAACAGCCCTATGAGGAAAGCTGGGCAGTATTCTGTTTTTGTAAAACTTTTGATTGTGAATTGAGTGAAAGTTTACAGAGAAGATCATCAGGTTTGCATTCAACAAATCATCTCAATGATTGGAATCCCCCTCCATAAAATGTTACCTTGCTTCATCCCTGTGGTTCCTATGTCCATTCCCCCTCCTTCCCATCCCTTCTCAACTTGGTCCTCAGGGAAATGTTGCCCTGTGATCTTGAGTGATTGGCCATTCTATGGTGAGCATACCTTACTAGTGTTGTTACGCCCCCTATATACCTATCTACTGCTTGGCTGAAAATTGGGCCATGAGGGTAGATTCCATTCCAGACCTGAAGGCTGGTGAGGGACATAGTGTCAGATTCCTCCAGTCTCATTCTGACCAGTAAGCTCGATCTTTTTTTAAATATAATTTTGAGTTTTGTTGCACATTTTCTTTCTTTTTTTTTTTTGCATCTTGTTTTATTGCAATGATTACAATCCTTTCTTTTCTCTTTTGACGTATACAAAAATATGCATGAATATACAGTCATTTAAACAACCAAAGGGCACATTTTGCAGAACAGCCCCCTGCCTGTCAGCACACAGCCATTCCCCTTCCATGAGTCTAGAGTCCTCAGATGCTCTGTCTCTCCATGCCGTTGTCTTTGCCTTCGACCCTGGTGTTGCTGCCTTTCTTGTTAGGATCCCATGCTCTGCCCCTGTTCTTCCCTCTTGCTGGTCCCAGGGTCCTCTGTTCCTAGAATGCAAGATCAACCACTCCCCCTTTTTTGTTACACATCTTATACCTTTACAATTATGACTATTTCAATTAGTCATAACAATTGTTGTTAAGTGCCATGGAGTTGGTTCTGATCCATACCAACCTTATATAGGGTTTCTGAGGAGTGACTGGGTAGCTTGAACTGCCGACCTTACAGTTCAAACCGATTTTGCAGCCCAGTGCATTAACCCACAGTGTCATAGGAGGACTCATGATTAACAATTACCACTAAATCAAAAGAACTCTATCCCCATCTCCTTTCGCTTGACCCACCTAGATAAGATGGAAACTGTTCAGTGGGGATTCTACCTTCCCCAATTTGCTCTGAAACTAAACTTGAAAACTTGTAAGCCAGTCACTTCATACCTTTATAGCTCTCTTCTCCACCCACCCACCCCCATTTTAGTTAGCCAGTGTCTGAGTTTGGGCAGTATTCTTATTCCCAGTTCACAGAGGAGGAGCCTGAGACCAAGAAGAGAAGTACGAGGTTGGTGCAGGACCAGGCTTGTGATGAGGGTCCAGGCCACCAGCTAGAGCACTCTGTACTGCCCAGTGCTGCCTCTCCAAATAAAGCAGGCTCAGCCTGCATAGCCAACTAGGGGTAGACATGGGTGCCAGAAAGTGCTCTTCTACAACACAAGCTTTTGGGAAATAGCTGTCGCAACTCCAAGCAACAGCCACTGAAAAAGCTGCAACTCCACAGGTGACTTCTGTCCATGCTTCGATCAGAGAAAAGGTCATTCCTTTGCCCAGTTCCACACTTGGGGAAATTTAATCAATTTGGTTGAAAATCACCATTTCCCTGAAAAAATTCCCACCTGCTTGCCTGGAACAGTGGACGACTTCCTGTGCTGGTTCTCCTGGTGGGTCATCAGTTCCACAAACTCACAGGGTGGACATTTGGAACTGGGGAGCCTAGGGCTGGCTCCTTATCTGCGTGACAGTTAGGGAGGGAGGGAGGGAGCCCATGGAACCTAGTGCCCTGCATGGAGCTGGCGGGTGATGGGTTGTTCCTTCAGTTTCCAGATCCACCATGAAACCAGTGTCAGGCAGACAGTGTTTTCTGCGTGAGTCCCCGGCACCCACCAATGCACGTGGTGATGCTCTGAGGAGGGGTCAATGAAGGACATGTCTGAATGACCTTCCTTCATTCTATCCCACACCCTGTGACAGCCACCAGCCTGGGCCAATTTCATGTTTCACCTGCAAGTCAGGGATTTTGCCAGGGTGGTCTTCTCAGTCCCTGGTCCACTGAGTGTGTGTGTCAGTGTGTCTGTCTGGAAGAGTGCACAGGTGTGTGGATAAGCACGGGGCATCACCCTGCCCTGGACATGCTCTGCCTGGCTGGGAGCGACCGGCTTCTGCCCTGTGTTACACTGTGGCTGAAACGATCTGGCTCTCAGGTGGACAACTGCCTCATGTCCAGTTCCTGAGGTGTGGCCGGACGACAGATGTCCTAGTTCTTTCCTCCTGAGCCTGGGGCTGAACTCCTCCTGCCCAAACACGTTCTGTCCTCCGGATGCGCCCAGCACAGCTGCTTGCCTGCCCATCACTGGACCAAGTCCCCACCGCAAGGACAGGACGTGCTGCCCACATCCGCCTTGGGCCGCACAGCCTGGGACTTTTTAAAACCTGACTGTGTCACTGAGTCCAGTAGCCACAGAGAGAATTTAAAAAGAATCACAGACATATAATTAAAATCTCAGTGCTGGGCTTTGAGGAAGGTGCTGGGCGGCTCCCGCCCCTGCTTTCCGGAGTCACAGATTTTTGGAAAGTGACAGGAGGCTAGT